CAGTAGCTACGGCTCCTCAAGTATGGCTACTGCCAGGTGGCCCCTCCTTGGTGGGTGAAGCTTCCACAGAGCTGTTCACAGGAATTCCTCTACCTGTCTCTTCAGTCCTAAGGATGATAAAGGCTTTCCCTGTTGCCAGTCTGTGGATGTCTCACTAGACCTTGCTTATTCTTAACACTGCCCATATCTCTATAATAGTCCCTTTGTTAAAGTTTCAATATTTGAACCATCTGGGGAAATTCTGTTCTCTGGCAGGACTCTGATACAGATCTGTTAAAAGGGAGTGGGATAGGCTTTACGCATGTCTTTTAATTCATGAGTTTAATCCTTTTCCCTTCTAGGCTGAAGATAAGCTTTTAATAATATTAAGTATGCTTTCATTATTCATAATTATGAATAAAAATGACTAATATTATATTCTCTTAAGAAATTTGAAGCACTTCATGAATATCACATTACTTGTTATGATTTTTTTTGAAGAAGAAAGGATCTTTATTATCCCATCCAACAACTGAGCAAAAAAGTTATTAAACTGACCAAAAACAAATAGATGAAATGAGAATTCCAGAATAAAAAGTACATAAAACAAAAATATTTTAAGTCCCAATCAATGTTTTTAAATACAAAAAAAAATTGAATTCTTCTGTTGGAACTGTGTGTAAGGTATATAACTCATACTAATAGAAACTGAATCATGTAAGTATTCATAGCCTTCAGCTTACCTAGTATTGCACGACTCAATGTTTTTATATTCTGATTCTATCATGGATAAATTCACAAGCAGCACAGTATGGAAGAACAGTCTACAATGGATGACTATACCTCCAGTTCAGGACAGTGGAGTTACTCGATACCTCCTCCTCACTAAAACTCTAGAATTTAACCTGAATCCTTTAACTCAGATGCACAACTAGCTTAGATGTTTACACCAAATTTTTTAAAAGGTTCCTTTCTCAGTGTAGCATAGCCCTCCCCTGTGAAAGACACAAAGTCACACAAAAAGTTCAAAAGCCAAGGCCCTCTGATTTCTCATGCCACCAAGAAGCAGACTGGCAACACTGATGGGATCTGGGGTCAGGGAACATGGGTTTGCAGCCTAGCACTACTATATTAAGATATGCCATGAGTGATAAATTAAAAATACTGATACATATGTAAAATTAAAAGAATATATCAGTATCTGTATCCATTTACTAAAATGAAAGGCAAAGGGCAAAACTAATTTTCTAACAGAATAAAAACCAAAGAAAACGTTTCCACAGATCTGGAACTTACTATTCCAAATTATAATTTTTTAGATAAGAAAGCAGCTATATCCTATTTAAGATACTGGGTTTTATTAAGATTTAGATAACTCAAAGAGTTTCAAAATAATTCTCCAAATTACCAAAAGAAAAAAAGAAAAAGAAAATGGAGAAAAATGCAGACATAAATCATATAAAATTAGAAATCCTGTTGGATCATAGTATAAGAAAGGCAAATTAAAGCAGCAAAACCAAACATTCATTAGGGACTAGAGGACAGCAAAGATGATGAACTCTATAGGTTTGAAATGAAGAATTATAAAATTACATATATGGCAATATAAGAAACTGAAGAAAATAATACTATACAATAAGAAAAACCTTCTTAATTCTTTTTAGAAGTTTAAAGAAGTTAGTATCAGCATCCTTTACATCATGTGGTCAAAGAAAGGATTCAGAAATAATGTAGAATACTGCATATAGGAAGGCTGGCTTTCAACATCTCCCATACAGAAGAAATAGAAATACATTTCATTTTTGTTCATCACCACCTCAATCATTTCACATTAAGGAGTTGTTAATCTGGTTATTAAGCTTAAGAGAAGCACATCCATAATCTTATATCAAATCTCTAAAAATGAGCATTCAACCATTTTGTCTCATTTATACATTTTTTTCATTCATTATAGTACTCCACAATTATTTCTGAATTATATCAACTAGAGTTTTGTGTTGTTGTGTAATGACATAAGAACTAATGTTTTTCCTTACCAATTCATATTCATCAAAAAGCTGTATGAGGGAAGGTGGAATGAACATATGAAAGCCCTGTAAAAAAGCATTGATCTGAGGCTGAATGGCTCTTGTCATTCGAAGTTCAGTAACAAGCTGGACGTACTCCGCCTATTGAAAAAGAAGTTTTCATAATGACTTTTTAAAAACATCTTACATACTTAAGATAATGTTAATATAATTATTTCTTATTTAAGACGTAAAAGTTTAAAACAAAATTGACACCAACACTCATACATCTCAGCAAACCAACAAGCCACCATTCGCTAAGCTGTTTAAGCAAAAATTCTAGGGAATCAAATCGTCCATGATTTCTCTCACGCTCTATTTCAGCTGATGCTTGCTATCAGATCTACCTTTAAAAAAAATTCTCAATCTGATCTGGTCTCACTACCACCATTTCAGCACCCTGGTTCAAGCCATCATCATTTCCCATCTGGATTACTGCAACATCTGGTATCCCTGTTTCCATTTTTGTCCCTGTACTGCTGCTTCTCCACACCTTAGTCAGAGTGATTTTTAAAAATATATATGTATATATAGACATAGAAATATATGTGTGTGTATGTATATGTAAATAACTCAGATCAGGCAGCTCTCTTGCTCAAAACCCTATAATGACTTCTCACGACATCTGGAGTAAAATCCAAATTCCTTCCCTAGTCTCTAAGGCCCTCAATGATCTGGCCTCTGCCTTGCTCTCTGATCTCATTTCTTTCCATTCTCTACCTAGCTCATTCATTCACTCAATTCTAGTTTCACTAGCTTTCTGGCTATTCCTGAAACACAGGCTTGTCCGGGCCCCAGTATGTTTATACTTCTAGTCATTCTCACTGAAATGTCTCATTAGAATGCAATCACTCTGTAGACAGGGGCTTTGTTTTACCAGTATATATACCAAAACTCCTAAAAAGTGACTCCCACTTTGTAAATATTCAAAAAGTATGTGATGAATGAATGCATACAATCATCAAGTTCACTCAACACATACTTAGAACTTGACAAAATGACTGTAGCATAGCCAATCCAATTCTAAGTTAAGCTATATTCACCCACTGTATTTTAAAATACATCATAATCACAGAAAATATTGTTACTTAAAATTTAACAGGTAATAAGCAGGGCATGGTAGCCATGCCTGTACTCCTAGTTACTAGGGGAGGCTGAGGTGGAAGCATTGCTTGACCCCAGGAGTTCAAGTCTGCAGTGAATTATGACCGTGCCACCATACTCTAGCCTTAGCAACAGGGCAAGACCCCGTCTCTTAAAAAAAAAAAAAAATGAACTGGTAATTTAAAAAATGTATTTTGGCTTAGAACAAAATGAATTATATACAGAAAGAGGAAAAAAAGTATCTGTGTTTATACATATATAAACTATCAGATGTTATCATTTATATATATTTTTAATTACTTGTAAGTGAAACTTTGTGAGTTAAAAGCAATATGCTGTAGAAGGTATATAGCTCCCACCTACTAGGAATTAATACTCTAACAGGGAAGAAGTCTGTTTTAGCCCTCTTCCTTTGTTCTTTTTTGGCACTAATCTGATGCTCTGTTCAAAAACAAAAACAAACAACAACAAAAACAAACCAAAAACAGGGAAAAAAAGACCCAAAAAAGGCATTGAGCCAGCAAGTTCTACATGACTGCTAGCTATGAATTCTCCATTGCTCTCAGAGCTACAGACCTGTCACAGTAGATTCCTCACACCCTCCTGAAACCCTGTGTGGCTCCTTGTACAATTTAACGCAAGGAAAGCTACCATCTCTGCTATCAATCTCCTCTCACCCCAAATCCTACTTCCCACCAACCAAAGGTGCAAGTTTTTCTCCACTGTATAGGAATTAATCAGTTACAAGTTACATACAGGTAGTTATTACAGAGAGGGAGACAGAAATGTGTGTCCAACAGTCAAACAGAAACATACACTAAATTTCCAGAGTCCAGCCCAAGAAATAACATATATAAAACATTTTATAGTGATTACAGAAGTATCTGCATTAGCACATGATTATGTTTTAGTTTACATCTACTCTCACTAAAACTGTTGACTGGATGCACTAAAAATTTTCTGCCCCATTCATATAATTATAGACCCACATTTTTTAAGACGCCAGAAAAGACCCTATTCTTCCCTAAAACTGACTTTTTTCCAAGAGGTTCTGGCTTTATAATCTTAAAGTGCGACTCAATAATCTCTGTTGAAGACTTTAACAAATCATGAATCATGAAAATAAAAGATTTTTGAATTGCTCATGTAAATGTTACCTATTTTAATTGCATTCCGTATCTATCAGAATAGTATATATTCTTTTTACTATTATTTCCTCCTACTTTCTATTTTTAAATTAATTTTTACAAATACACTCTTTCATCATACTTTTTCTTCTATTTCTTTTAATATTTATTATTTCCACATGTATTGCAGTAACTCAGTTCATAGTTATTGATACCAATTTGTGAAAATCAGCTCTTTCACATCCCAGTCTTCACGCTAATTAAGTAATTTAAATGTGGATGGCAGTTAAACAAAATTATTTTTCTTTTTTGTTTTTCAAGATAATTAAATAGTTTATTGATTACACACAAGCTTCATTCCCATCTATAATTTTATCTGGTACCATTATTCAATTTAGATATATTGCATAGGATGTGCCAACAATCATTTTTATAACCAATAATTCCACGATTTTGCTTGGGTAATCCCTTTTAATGGTGAACTTCAGGTCACAACAGTAACTATCAGTTTAACTACATCAAGGTTTCTGAAGACAATGGCTTCTCTATGCAAGCAGGTTGTATATAAATTCCAAATAGAACCTGGCATCACCCTGAAGGAATTCTAACTTCACACTGTTGGGGAAATTTACCAAGATGGCTTCAGAGTAGACTAACTTTACACTGTTGGGGAAATTTACCAAGATGGCTTCAGAGTAGACTAACTTTACACAGCACGTTAAAAAAAAAAAAAAGACATTTATTCAGTGTCATGATCAGATTATTACATTTGGCAATCAACAGCATGGGTGCAAAAAAAAAAAATCTGCATTAAAACCCTTTGTTGGAATGCTTTATACTTTCCACAGAACAGAAACTAAAATAACCTGTTATACAATTAGTCACAAATACAGTCCTCGAATTTTTTGCCCATACACATGAGTATTTGTCAAACTCATGTCTTCTTTGTAGTAGCTATGCATCTGTTGCAACCTGTAGCTTCCCTGTCACTTCTCTGGCTCTCCTCTCCTGCTAAAGCTTTGTTTCCTAATTAAAATCTTCTGCCACTGTCATAGCTACTACTGCTACTGGAACCGCCACAGTGACCTTGGTTTCATGGTTTGGCAAAGTATTGGCCATCACCACCATAGGGGCCATAGTTTCTGCCTCCAAAGTTTCCTCCTTTCATGGGTCCAAACTTTGAAGGCTGATTGTTGTAATTGCCAAAATCATTGTAGCTTCCACCACTTCCAAAGTTGCTTCCATCACTACCAAATTCATTGTAGCCATCCCCACCGCCACCATATCCACCACCGCCACAGCTGCCACCAAAGCCACCACAACCACTGAAGTTTCTTCCAAGACCAAAGTTGTCATTCCCACCAAATCCACTTCCATGACCACCACCAAAGTTTCCAGAACCACTTCAGCCTCTTTGGCTGGATGAAGCACTAGCCATCTCTTGCTTTGATAGGACTTTCCTAACTTCACAGTTGTGGCCATTCATAGTATGGTATTTCTAAATGGCAGTTTTATCCACGGAGGCATGGTCATCAAAGGTTACAATGGCAAAGCCCGTTTTCTTGCCACTGCCAAGGTCAGCCATGATTTCAATCACTTCAATTTTTCCATACTGTTCAAAATAATCTTTTAGGTGATGTTCTTCAGTGTCTTCTTTAATGCCACCAACAAATATTTTTTTCACAGTTAAGGGGGCACTTGGTCTTTGAGAATCTTCTCTTGAGACAGCTCTCTTTGGTTCCACAACTCTTCCATCCACGTTGTGTGGCCTTGCATTCATGGCTGCATCCAACTCCTCCACAGTGGCATACATGAGGAACCCAAAGCCCCTGGAGTGCTTGGTGTTTGGATCTCTCATTACCACACAGTCTGTGAGCCTTCCCTTTTGCTCAAAATGGCTCCTCGGACTCTCATCAGTTGTTTCAAAGCTCAACCCTCCAATAAACAGCTTTCTCAGCTGTTCGGGCTCTTCAGGAGACTCTGACTTAGACACGATTACGGGGAGAAGAGAGACATTAACAATGCTTCTTCAGTGGCATCCACAGGCAGAAAGGTATTTTTCAATAAAATAATGAAATCTAGCTATCATAAACCGTTCTTAATTTTTCTGTAATATAAGAGTTTTTCAAACAGTTAAAAGATAGCTGTGTTTAACAGATAAATCTAAGTCAAACTCTTTCTAAGATGTTTCCCTGCCTCACTAAACAGCACACCTTCAAACAGAATAAAACAAATTAATATTATTATGAAAATACAAATTTTACTAAGTACACCCAGTACTTTTACCCAGTAACACTTCAAGCATTCATGTTGTGTAGAAATACACTGGCTAATGGTTCTAAGAACAGAGTTTTGCTATCTCACTGGGACCGAGTTCCAAGGGTGAGGGGTGACTGCCTGATCGGCGGTTCTCCAGCCTGCTGGCTTTGGAGAATACAGGCAGTCCAGCAAGGAAGGGTCCCCCTCAATGTAGCACACGTGCTCTACAAAAAAGCAGCCAGACTGCTTCTTTTGGCAGGTGACTGGTTGAGATCTCCCAACAAGGAGTCTCCAGCCACCGCTTAAAGATGTGTGCAGGCCAACAACAGGTAAGTACCCCGTAGGACAGAGCTTCCAGAGGAAGGATCTGCCTGCCATCTTTGCTGTTTCATGGTGTTCACTGCTGATACCTCCAGGTATGGGAGAAACCAAGGCAACTGGGGTCTGGAGAGAACCCCCGGCAAACCACAGCAGCCCTACAGTAGAGTGGCCAGACTACTAAAAGAAAAACAAACAAACAAAAAACAAAAATATCAACAAAAAGACCTCACAAAAACCTCAGAGGTCAGCAATCTCAAAGATCAAAGGTAGATAAGCCCAAAAAGATGAGAAAGAATCAACACAAAAATGCTGAAAACTCAAAAACCTCTTTTCCAAATGACTGCAACACCTCTCCAGCAAAAGCACGTAACTGGTCTGATGCTGAGATGGCTGAACTGACAGAAATAGGCTTTGAAAGGTAGGTAATAACAAACTTCACTGAGCTAAAGGAGCATGTTGTAACCCAATGCAAAGAAGCTAAGAATCATGATAAGACAATACAAAAGCTGACAGCCACAACAGTCAGCTTACAGAGGAACATAACAGACCTGATAGAAGTGAAAAACAGAACAGGAGAACTTCACAATGCAATCACAAGTATCAATAGCAGAATAGACCAAGCGGAGGGTAAAATCTCAGAGATTGAAGACTATCTTTCCAAAATAAGACAGGCAGACAATAACAGATAAAAAAGAACAAAAAGGAATGAATAAAACCTCCAAGAAATATGAAACCATGTAAAGAGACCAAACCTATGTCTGATCAGGGTACCTGAAAGAGACGGGGGGAATGGAATCAAGTTGGAAAACATACTTTAGGATATCATACGGGAGAACTCCCCCAAATTATCAGGACAGGTCAAGATTCAAATTCAGGAAATGCAGAGAACCCCAGTAAGATACTCCATAAAAAGAACAACCCCAAGACATATAATCAGATATGTCTTCACATCAGGTTCTCCAAAGTCATCAGGTTCCCCAAGGTCATCAGGTTCCCCAAGGTCCAAATGAAAGAACTGTCTTATCAGCTGTTGTCAGTGTGTTTCTGAGGCAACAGCAACTAAACAGTGATGTTTTAACAGCAATACAGACTTGTTCTGGCATCAGATTTTCATCAGCAATGACCCTGGCAAATTCATCAATGAATTTCACCACTGTTTTGTGATCAGCAGATGCTCTATTGCCACAAATCTTTAAAAATTTAACATATCTTTTCTTAAATTACTGCAACTAGACTACTGAAAAGTCACAGTTCCTTTCCATTTTCACTTCATTATGAGGGAATCTTGGTGTGTGAAAAAAATATATACATGCAGCAGAAGGGGGCTAGGAGGGTTTCTTTTCCTTTGGGATACTGAATCAGCTATATGTTGTATGCTTGTGTTCTGAGTGCCCACTGGTCATATGAGATCAGAAATTTACCACTTATGGTTTCATGTCAGTACTCAAAAAGTTTCAGACTCTGGGGCACTCTGAATTATGGATGTTCAAACTCTATAATTTTTTCTTCCTTTTTTTTTTGAGACAGTCTTGCTTTGTCGCCAGACTGGAATGCAATGGCATGATCTCTACTCACTGCAACCTCCGCCTCCTGGGTTCAAGCAATTCTCCTGCATCAGCCTCCCAAGTAGCTGGGACTACAGGCACATGGCACCATGCCTAGTTAATTTTTTGTATTTTCAGTAGAGACGCGCACTGCACCATGCCTAGCTAATTTTTGTATTTTCAGTAGAGACAGGGTTTCACCATGTTGGTTGGCCAGGATGGTCTCAATCTCTTGACCTCACAATCCATCTGCCTTGGCCTCCCAAAGTGCTGGGATTACAGACATGAGCCACTGCACCCAGACCCTGTATACTTTTGTAGAGATGCATATAAAGAATCCACTTTAAGTCAATAATCTATGGATAAAAGCCTGTGTTTTGTGCTTGTATGTGCATTAAATGTGTATGTTAAATAAATCAAGCAAAACTAGCCATAAAAACTTAACCACATAAAACTAGCAATAAAACCATATTAAAATGAAATTGATAAAGTATACTAAATTTGTATTTGCTACTTTGTTGATATTCACTGCCTTAGTAAACGAGAAACCTAGCAGTTACACTGTTTTACAGATGTCCATTTAAAATAAGAAAACATCAGTTACAAGTTTTGTGTCCCTGGGCAGTTATTTAACTTCTAAAGAAATGTAGTGTTGTAGTTACAAGCAGGCTTGAGTGCTCACCTTGGCAGCACATATACTAAAACTGAAACGATACAGAGAAGATTAGGATGGCCCCTGCACAAGCAGTCTTGAAATGTACAGACTGCACTGAGAAAGCTATTTAGCTCCTATATGCTTCCATTTCCTCACCTGTAGAAAGAGGCATCCCCACCTCACAGAGTTAAGCACAACACCCATAAGTCATGTCAAACAGTGCCTAGCACATTATAAAAACCTAGTATCAAAATTTTTTAATATTAAGGCTATTTCCACACTGCAAAGAGAAACAACTATCTCAAGAGGCTGTTACAAGAAATGAGAAACACAAAGAACATAGTTCAGATACACGAAACACATAAAGTACTCAATAAGTAGTAATTACTATCACTAGAAAACAGAACTAATGATAATGAGGTTGATGAAGCATAAGAGGGCAACACTATCAGGCATTAGGTCGCCCAGTCCACAAAAGTGGCAGTCATCCTTGAGTTCTTCCTCTTTCACATCTTCCCAATTGATTACCAAGTTCTATAAATTATATTATTCTCATAAGCTTAAAAGCTATCCCATTTTCTCCATCGTCACTGCCACTGCCTTAATTCCTCATGCATGCTTCCCCAAACCAAAATGCCACAGCTTCCTCTCAGTTGCCCTAACTCCAGTACTGCCCCATTTCAACCCATTCTTCACACTCTAAGCTGATTCAGTTGTTTCTTGGGTTTTTTTTTTTTAACTGAAATTTGATCATGTCACTTCTCTCTTTAACATCTACTGTACCCCAAAACCATTTAATAAAAACAAAAAATCTGCAATCATCCCTACAGACTTCAGAATCATTTTCAAATTACTAATTGTGGATGCAAAGTCTTTCAGAATTTGGCCACTTTCTCCCTTCCCCACATCATCTTTTTCTACTTGCTTACTTTGCAACTTAAGCTAAGCTCCACAACTCTGATCTACTTGTGGTTTCCCAAACACATCATGCTCTGTGTCACCTCTGTGCCTTCCTGTAAGCCCAGAACATTTCCTTCTTCCCATCCTTACTCCTACCTGACCACTCAATGCTTCGCCTCTATAATTTAACTTCCATATCACTTCATTCATTCCCTGATATCCTGGTCCCACTCTACTATCTTCTTTTTTTTTCCTCCCAGCCTGGATGAACTTTATGACTAGTATTATAAAAGTGATGCAAACATTTAAACTCCTATAGCTTCAATTCTAAAAACTAGAACTGAAGATAAGAGCAAAAGAGGCCACATCTAGCTAACTTAAGAGCATAATATTTCAAATGTGGAACTAATATATATATACATTTGCCTATATTAATTGCATTTATTTATATAACATGCTGCTTTTTAAATTTAAGATATTTTCATCTATTTGGTTTCACTTTATAATCACCAAAGCCTTTTTAAAAAATTTGGGAATAAGTGACTCCCCCACGTGGAGACTGGTTTACATAGGCCCTCTAACAAGTTTAGCAAGTAATTTAAGTTTCACCAGCTCAAAATTATAAATTAAGTTTATATTTCTAATCAGATTTCTCAAAATGCATATGCCTAATTTATACTATCAGCTGAAATGCTCTAGACATTTTTAGGAATCACCTCAGCATAGCTAGCACAATTAACTAAATAATCCTTTCTAAATCAAAATTTAATATTTGATGGTTTTGTTAACTTAAATGTTTTATCTGTTATGAAACTATAACAGTAAAAGTTTTTCTACAAATACCAGAAGAACTTAGAGTAACTAGCAAACTATCAGGGCCAAGTTACAAACCATGGTTAAGGTAAAAACTGAAGTACTCACTTTGTTATTCTGTGTCACAAGAATACTCCCACCTCCAGGTTTCAAAGGCACCTCTTCCATTGCTCCAAACACATCAGTCTCAACAGAAAAAGTTAGTTCTAGACCCAGATCACTTATATCATTATCTAAAATCCATTGCAAATTTTTGGCATATTCTGGATCAATGGATGCCACATCTTGGTAATTTACAGGAATACCTACAAAATGCAAACATACAGTAGTTATAGTCTAAGTATTTCTGCCTCCCTTCTCTATTTAATGGTAAAATACTGCCCTCTACAGATATTCTGAAAAACTGCAAAATATTAATATAATCCTATTCACAGCATGTTTCAAATGGATTCCTGAATTTGAAAGTCTGTTAAATTAAGCCTGTGTTTCTTTCACATTGTTACAATGTAATCTTTCTTTGAAATAGCCATTCAGGAAGTTATTATAAACTTCAAAAGTGCCAATTATCTTAAGTATACTCATATTGGAATATATTCTTAGCATAAATATACACATACTAAAATTAAAAAAAAAAAAACTTAGCTAAAAATGTTTGGGGAAAAAAAGGTAGGTCATTTCTTTCTCCCTCAAACCCGAATGCCTTATATATACAGATGGCCTCCAATCAAAATAAAAACTATCTCATCCAAAATGCCACTGTTTATCTAGTTTTCCTCAAACTGAAAGAAAAACAATATAAATAAATGTCTGCATAAATAATACTGGAGCCATACCAAGAATGTGCTTGTAGAAGGATCGTGTGAAGTAAATATTGACCAGCTGCCTGTGGTTCAAAGCTAATCCCAAGATCTGCCCAGCAAAACGAAAATAGTTCAAGTGATCAGGATTTACGTAAGAGTTGCTATTAGGCTGAAAAGTTGTTCCTATTGAAGTAAATACAAAATATTATTAAGAATCTATATGCAGAAGAAAGATAATTTCAATCCAGATAAACTAATTCACATACAACTTCAGCAAAGCTAAGGTTTCATTATGTATAAACTTCCAGAGAAATGTTCTTTGTGGAATATTTAACAGGTGGTAAGCAGAATTGTAAGTACAGATGATAATCATTAATTCATACATATTTATCACAGTAAGTCTATGGCAGAGAGAAAATTTTAGAGTACTTTTGACTGAAATTAGTTGGAAGATCATCAGAGACACCCTGGAAATAATACAGCAAAAGATCATATGCACATGTGTGCACGTGCACATACACACACTTGTACACACATGCACATAGATACACAATTTCCTAGGCAGTATGGCAATAGGCTGTTCACTAGGACAGACATTATCCCATTCATCTGTATATGCCAGTGCAGTGAGTATTTGCTAGTTTCTGCTTCTTTAGGAGTAGAACACTATGAGAATAACTAAAAATTTTAAATTTACAACTGTTCTTAAGTGACAGACCTAGTCAATGAACTTGATGCCTGTTAACAATGATTAGAAAATCACCCCAGTCCACAAGGTAACCAGGTCTTCCTAATGGCAAACAATTAAGTTTAAACAATTACCTCAGGTGAAAGTAAAAATGGCAAGGGCAATAGTTACCAATTATTGAAAATCTAGTGCAATGGAATATGAATTCAATTTTATAAAATATCTAGATTAGGGAAATTTATAGATATGTAAAGTAGATTAGTAGTTACCTAAGGCTGAAGAAAGGGGAAATGGGAGATATTGCTTAATGGGTATGGAAGTTCTGCCTGGGGTGATGAAAAAGCTCTGAAAATAGATAGCGGCCAATGGTTACACAACATCATTAATCTTCTAATCATTAATCATTTAATCTTCTTAAATGCCACTGACTGTATACTTTCAAATAATATAAATGATAACTTTTAATGTGGATTTTACCACAGTAAAAAAAAATTCTCAAAAACAAAAAACTACTACTAATTAAATGTTAAAACCTAATGCCAAAACCTCAACTTTAAATAACTTTCTGTTCCTATTTTTCCTAC